TTAAAATACATATATTAGTATGTATATTAACTTTACAATATACATATATAGTAGAATATAAAACTACCAATTCGATTATCGAATTGGTAGTTTTATATGGAGCTAATTACGAAAACTTTATTTAACTCGAGATTATTATTAATGTTTCAGTCACTGCAACTGAAAAGATCTATTTTGTGACTCGCCATCACGTTAAAGTTCTTATCTGTTTTAGCCAGACAGCTTCTAAGGTTCCAAGTTTCTAGAAATTTAATTTCCTCTAGTCGTATTATATGTCGTCTCAGATGAATAGATACTACATTTGTGCATATAATATCCTGGTCTATTGGTAAAGAAATCCGAATTGTAACACCCATAAACAAACGTTCACGAGTAGGTATACCGTAATCGTTATTTTTTTTTCACGACACGATAATAATCACTGTGCAACTAAATAAAATCTAGGGCCTCGTGTAATGGTATTTACCTCTTAATTGGATATTTAAAAGCTATTAAAATAAAAGTTCTACTTAATTATACCAATTACCGAGGTTCTAAAAGCCGCTCGATGTAGGCAGCTGACCTGATAACTATCTACTTAATTTCATATACTTTCTTCTACCTATACCTAAGCTGTTTACATCAATGTATTACCTATTAACAAATAAACCTATAGACAAAGAAACAAATTAAAAAGTATTAAATTTATAATGGAGTCGATTCTGGCATAATTTTGTAAAGGTTAAATTTTTGACAACGATGTATCCTTGTCTTTCTCTATACAGAAAGAAAAGGAGAGACTAATCTTAAATTAAGTTTAGAGAATCATGCATGCCAGAGTCGACACATCTGTAATATTTATAATTTTTATGTGGCTATTTACCTGCATCAATATAAAGTACTTTTTATACATATTATCGTATCGACGTTGGCAGAAAGATTTTGTTTATAATGCGATTCAACTAAGAATAGGACCGACTGGGTGCCATATTTTGACATCATAGCTGTCAATTAAAACCAAATAGGTAGAGTGAGCAAAAAAAATGTTATGATTTTATTTATTTTTAAAGCATTTAACTGCTAGATGTTTAAATCTAAAGAAAAGTTTACTAGAAAAAAATCCACGCAGACCAGGCAGCGGACGGGACTCGAACCCGCATCCTTCGCTATCCGGGCGAATGCACTGACCATTATGCTACCACGGCCCTATTAGCCGCGTCGAAATTTTCCTAGCCTTAAGCTGCAAGGCAGCGCCATCTCTTCGCATTGTAGGTAACCCACAATGTCAAATGAATACTTTTTCAAGTATTAAACATTTTGAAAGAAGAAATAGCAATTATAGTTATGATTTTATTAATTTTTAAAGCATTTAACTGCTAGATGTTTAAATCTAAAGAAAAGTTTACTAGAAAAAAATCCACGCGGACCAGGCAGCGGACGGGACTCGAACCCGCATCCTTCGCTATCCGGGCGAATGCACTGACCATTATGCTACCACGGCCCTATTAGCCGCGTCGAAATTTTCCTAGCCTTAAGCTGCAAGGCAGCGCCATCTCTTCGCATTGTAGGTAACCCACAATGTCAAATGAATACTTTTTCAAGTATTAAACATTTTGAAAGAAGAAATAGCAATTATAGTTATGATTTTATTTATTTTCAAAGCATTTAACTGCTAGATGTCTAAATCTAAAGAAAAGTTTACTAGAAAAAAATCCACGCGGACCAGGCAGCGGACGGGACTCGAACCCGCATCCTTCGCTATCCGGGCGAATGCACTGACCATTATGCTACCACGGCCCTATTAGCCGCGTCGAAATTTTCCTAGCCTTAAGCTGCAAGGCAGCGCCATCTCTTCGCATTGTAGGTAACCCACAATGTCAAATGAATACTTTTTCAAGTATTAAACATTTTGAAAGAAGAAATAGCAATTATAGTTACGATTTTATTTATTTTTAAAGCATTTAACTGCTAGATGTTTAAATCTAAAGAAAAGTTTACTAGAAAAAAATCCACGCGGACCAGGCAGCGGACGGGACTCGAACCCGCATCCTTCGCTATCCGGGCGAATGCACTGACCATTATGCTACCACGGCCCTATTAGCCGCGTCGAAATTTTCCTAGCCTTAAGCTGCAAGGCAGCGCCATCTCTTCGCATTGTAGGTAACCCACAATGTCAAATGAATACTTTTTCAAGTATTAAACATTTTGAAAGAAGAAATAGCAATTATAGTTATGATTTTATTTATTTTTAAAGCATTTCTTTAGATTTAAACATCTAGCAGTTAAATGCTTTAAAAATAAATAAAATCATAACTATAATTGCTATTTCTTCTTTCAAAATGTTTAATACTTGAAAAAGTATTCATTTGACATTGTGGGTTACCTACAATGCGAAGAGATGGCGCTGCCTTGCAGCTTAAGGCTAGGAAAATTTCGACGCGGCTAATAAGGCCGTGGTAGCATAATGGTCAGTGCATTCGCCCGGATAGCGAAAGATGCGGGTTCGAGTCCCGTCCGCTGCCTGGTCCGCGTGGATTTTTTTCTAGTAAACTTTTCTTTAGATTTAAACATATAGCAGTTAAATGCTTTAAAAATAAATAAAATCATAACTATAATTGCTATTTCTTCTTTCAAAATGTTTAATACTTGAAAAAGTATTCATTTGACATTGTGGGTTACCTACAATGCGAAGAGATGGCGCTGCCTTGCAGCTTAAGGCTAGGAAAATTTCGACGCGGCTAATAGGGCCGTGGTAGCATAATGGTCAGTGCATTCGCCCGGATAGCGAAGGATGCGGGTTCGAGTCCCGTCCGCTGCCTGGTCCGCGTGGATTTTTTTCTAGTAAACTTTTCTTTAGAAAAAAAATGTTGCTATTTAATAAAACTTATTGACTAAGATTAAGTGAGACAAAACATCAGATTTTTTTATAAAATTAATTTACTAAGGTTGAGAAAGAACACAACCGATTTTTAATAGTATTTCTTAATAAGACTGTGTGAAAAAAAAACATTAATCACAATCTAGCTCTTCAATTTCGCTCATCTCTGCATTACCGCCGGAGAAGTTATGAATAATCATGCAGGTCACATACGAACATGCATCTTATATGTTAACGAAAGTTTTAAATCAAGTTTTTGAACGCAACATAAGTGCGTGCTAAAAAGTGATCCGAGATTTTTTTGCAAACCGTACTTTTAAGCGACATTGACAGATGGAGGTCATTGGCATTCCTATTCTTATTTGAATCGCATTATAGTTAAGTTATAGATCGTGAATGATTGAATATATATTTTTTATTATAAAATCTATCCATGTATATTTGTTTTACTTAACTTTTCAGCAGGATTGAAGTGGCAGATCGGTTTTGGCAAAAGAAAACAACATCATTTTCCATTTTTGTGAGAGCTCCGCCTCGCGACTTGGAACGATCTAAACGATCTTGGAAATGGTAGCGGTCGCGCGTGAACTAGTTTTTATAAACGCACTAAATCAATGGTCTCGTACTTTTTGACAGAGTGGAAATGCCTGTACTGGCGTCTTCCGTTATAGATTAGACTACGACATAAGAAACTGTCCAAGCCTACCTACTCCAAATTTTAAAATCGGAAATAAACTTTATTTAAGAACACGCACCATTCAAATTGCCTCTCTAAACATTACTCAAATGTCCATAGAGGTTCTTCGATAACCGTTAATACTCTCTTCGAACAGAATAAAGAAACTTTTTCTATCCAAATGCGAATCTTCCTGTCATCAATTAATAATAAAATGGGCGATCGTGTTTTTTTCGCACGAAAATTAAACAAGCAGTGTCACTGAAAGCCTTTTCTCATCCTGTAGACAGTAGGCGTCGCATCACATAGCGCCCATCGTCGTCGCATTTAAAATCTTTTGAAACGAAAAGTTGTTCAAACGAAACAAATTTAATTACAGATTTGCAGGAGACAAACAGGCTCACCACCTGAACTGAAAACTCTCTAATGAAATCCAGCAGCAGATTTTCTAAGTTTTAAATTGTTAGCCCCGGGGCCCCGGGGCGACCAGTGTTGCCACTTTGGGGAATCTGTCGCTACATTTAGGGAATTCTGCAATAGCTCAACGATTTTTGCAATTACTAAGTCACTAGGAGACTTTTTCAAGATGGCATAGGCGACGATCCAGATTCGATTATTACATAACTGAAGGACACTGCAAAATAATTCATAATATTGAACAGTTTATGTTTAAACTATGAAAAAGTAGGTACCTAGGTAATTAAATTAGTAAATAAATAAAAAAAAACCAATACTCACACCAATTAGCCTAGCCCCAAAGTAAGCACTGTAAGGCTTGTGTTATGGGATACTAGGGTAACGGATAGATCACATATACTGTACATATATAAGTATATTTATACAGTACAAATGCTCGTATTCATCACACTAACATCTGCCCCCACCGGGATTCGAACCCGGGACCTCTCGAGTCGGCGACACCGAATGTCGTTTCTGTGGCCGAGTGGTTTGTACATTCTAAAGAATTTTTAATATCCTTTTTTTTTTAAACACACCAAATTTCCTAGCCCTAAAGTACCGAAGCACTGTGAATTCTCATAATCTAGCGAGACTATGATACTTCTAGTGAATTGTCCAAATTGAAGGTGGCAACACTAGGGGCGACGCGGCGCCGGCACAACTTCGCACCCTTTCCGAATGAAACTTTGTGTGTCCACCGCTCTTTTATTTTTAGCTGATAATAGGAGACTGGCTGTAGCGTACTGGCAGCTAAAAGGGACACCGCCGGAGTGTTCCATGTTAATAAAACGGTTGTTCGAGTAATAAGAATTTAAACTCCTACTCGGCAACATTAGCAACAAGTTACGTTCCGGCGACTTTGCAGCGGAAAGGACGGAGTTAACTCGTAGTTATGGTTTTGTTATTGCGTAACTTGGAGCGCGCGCCATAAAGTTTGCGTAATTTCACGGCCATTTCACTTAATACCTTGATGACTGGTTGAATGCACGCAGTTGCAGGTAGAGATTAGATAGAGATTGCACTTCCAAGCTAACATGAGACTGATTAAATTTTTAAGATGACTGTGTTCTTTATTGCGAAATTGATTAAGCTAAAATGAGGCTTCTCTTTTACGAGTTATTGTTCATATTGTTGAATATGGTGTTATGTGAAGAGTCTGAGGTAATAACTGCAGGTGAAGCGGCAGGCATCGACTATTCAGACCTGGCGGGCGAGGCGGAGAGGCACAAACACGACTTATTAAACTTCCTGAATCAAACTCGTGTTCAAGAGCAGTACAAATTGATGTACAAGTGTTTGCTTGCCGAGCTGCTGGGTAAATACAAACTATTTAATGTGTCTCCATAAGTAGTAAGCTATGAGTACCTACCTAATTAGCAAGTAGGTACTTAATTATTTGCTATGCTAATTCATATTAAATTCACACTTCTGTGCTGGACTGGAAAAAAATATACTTATAGGAAATACGATAACAGCAGTTTAAAAGCGGACGCGAGCTAAGAGACATTTATTATATTTCACATATTATTATAGGTATTCGGTATTGCTTAAATCTTAATCCTAACTAATATTATAAATGCCAAAGTTTGTTTATTCGTTCGTTACGCTTTCACGCCTAAACCACTGAACGCATTTGGATGAAATTTTGTAGTTTATGACTAGTAATAATATATAGATGTATATATATATATACATCTATCATATATTTATATATATCATTACGTTGTAAATGGCACATCCTTTTATATTTTGCTACGTAGAACGTTACTCAAAAATAAGAAATACCAACCTATAAAGTAATTCGCGAAAGCTCCTAATTTCATGCAAAACCATGTCCGCGTCTCCCGAGACTTGACACCGCGCGGGAGGCACTCCGGCTTCATTCATTGTTGCAAGCTTTACCTTGTAATGGAAAAATATATTTCACAGGAACAGAGCACCCTCATCGGAGAGGTGAGTAAATATTATTTTCGTTCTTTGAATGCGAACATTGGCAACGTTTTTTAATTTCTTAAAAAATCATGCTGCTAAATGATGTGTATTGAGTTGAGAATGTAACGAACGAGCTCAAGACTTGCAAAAGAAATTTATTTCACCTGTTCTTCTCTACTACTAAAAAAGGCCTGTACTTCAAAATTTTTACTCTAGTAGTAGGCAAAAAAACTATGTAAAAGGTTTGGTTTATACATGCCTAAATACAAAACGAATAGAAGTATCTTATATTATTTATTATAATGGATGAGATAATACAATTTATAATAACCCTGTCTGCGCGTCGCGCTTCGCGCTCTTGCATTGCGCAGCCGGGTAAAAAACATCCTGTTCTATTTCTTAAAGCTGGCCTGTGCTACAGCCAACAGTAGTGGGGACATTTCATGATGAATTGTTGGCATTTTATGCTCTTACATACTCCGGCGCGATTTGACTTGGCCGCGTTGTTTTATCTATAGTAAAATACTTCTTCTACGGTCGGGTCTTCATTACTGAAGATCGTGATTATTTGATGGACTCTTCCAGGAGTAAATGATTTGCCTCCATCTGTTGCGATCTCTGGCCGCTCTCACCACGTCACAAAAAGTTTGTTGGTGTGAACTGATCACCTTTTTAGGGATCTGCCTCGACTCCTTTTGCCTTGCACGTATCCAACGACAACTAGTTTTTCCAGATTATGATTGCTAGTAAAATTCTACTATAGTTAAATCCTATAGAGAAAAATTGCCATAAAGTAATATTAGTTATTTACGGGATTGTTACCATGTACTTTGTTTTTAGCGAGTTTCCGATATTTCGGCACTGTTGCAAGCGCCATGATCACGGAGTAACTGTTAGTAGCGCCACGATCACGGAGTAACTGTTAGTCCGTGATCATGGCGCTTGCAACAGTGCCGAAATATCGGAAACTCGCTAAAAACAAGGTACATGGTAACAATCCCGTAAATAACTTATATTACTATAATGTTAGTGACCATTAAAATTTAAAACAAATTGCCATATAGCAAAATTTTACACTTTATTAAACTATGTGTAAAGTAACTTTTTTACCAGAAAAAATCTACCCGGAACAGGGAGTTCACCTGCACCCTCAGCCCTCACCCTCCGCTAACAGGGCAGATGCACTGACCATTATGCTTCAGCGGTCCTAATAGCCGTGTCGAATTAGCTCTATTATTTCTTAGGCTACAAGGCAGCGTCATCTCTTCCCATTGTAGGTAACCCACAATGTCAAATGAATACCTTTACAAGTATCAAACATTTGAAAGAAGAAATAGCAATTATATTCGTATTATTATATTTTTTTTACAAGTAAACAGATTTTTAAGTAACTAGATAGTAGTTAAATGGAATTATAAACTTTGGGCCAAATTGTAATTTCGAATTTAGTTTATAATTCAGAAAAAACGTAAATTAATTTTTTTAGGCGGAATAAATTTAGGCCAAATGAAGGTTGTGCTCACGATTTAGGTCGATAGGTTGAGCGCCAATGACAATTAAAGCACAGAAATTAGACGTCAAAATACATTTCGTATACTTAACGAAAACTATAAGATAAAATACAAGATATAATACAAAATGTATTTTTGTATTATATCTTGTATTTTATCTTTGATGTAAAATGATTTTTTGTTCTTTAGCAAACCTCAATAAATTAAACACACCCATTTTCAGCTATAACCCATTCCTCAGGATCGACCCGTCGGATAGTGTCTGGTCGGAACACCTCCATAGCGGCGGTGCCGTGGCAGGTGTCACTCCGAGAGAAGACCTACCCCATCTGCGGGGGATCCGTAGTCACAGACCTGTGGCTGCTAACCGCTGCTCATTGCCTGCTAAGGTAAATATACACACTCGCACTCTTCGACACGCATCGCAGGTCTCACCCTGAGATAAGACCGTTAAAGCCGTAGTTTTTTTTTTTATTTATTTTTTTTTAATTCAAAAATCATTTATTCAGTTTAGGCTTTTACAGGCACATGTGAAAATTATCAGTGTCGTCAAACTTGCAAACATGTATTGAGGTCAACTTCCTTCAATCACATAATGTCAAATAGGTGACAATAAACAATCAATGAATTTACTAATAATAATAATAATACTAATGGCTATTAATCAACAGGTCCGCCGTAACCGAAAGACTCTGTCGACTTCCTGGATAGATTACAAGAAAGCGTATGATTCCGTACCGCATTCATGGCTCATGAGGGTGCTGGAGCTGTATTAAATAAATGCAACTCTACGCACTTTCTTGATGTCATGTATGCGACAGTGGAGAACGGTCCTATTCTATCCAGAATCTCGACGGACTCTGGGTAACGGCGATCCTATAAAAATAGAGCGAGGCATCTTCCAGGGCGACGGTCTGAGTCCATTGTGGTTTTGCCTGGCCTTGAACCCTCTGAGTACACTACTCGAGAGTTCAGGTTTAGGCTATCGTTTACGGAGAAATGGTCAAGTAATATCACACCTGCTTTACATGGATGACTTGAAACTTTTTGCCCACAGCAGTTCTCATTTGACAGCCTTACTGAAGGTTACTGAAGATTTCAGTAATGCTATCAGAATGGAATTTGGTGTGGACAAATGTGCAATCATGCATGTAAAGCGTGGTCAGGTAGTGGAATCCGCGGGTATACAACTCTCGGATTCAGTTCACCTTAGATCTCTCTCCGTAAACGAACCCATAAATATTTAGGTATGTCACAGGGATTAGGCATCAACGATGCTGACATGAAACAGTCATTACGTGAGCGTTTCTAGGGGCGCCTGTCAAAAGTTCTTAAAAGTCTTTTGTCGGGCGGAAACAAGGTTCGTGCATATAATGGCTGGGTAATGCCGCTATTGATGTATTCCTTTGGTATACTTAAATGAACTCAAACTGAACTTGATGCCTTGGACAGAACAGTTCGTACATTGTTAACAGCACACCGTATGCATCACCCACGCTCCTCGACTATGAGATTGTATATCCCGTGGAAGTGTGGTGGTCGTGGCTTCCTAAATGCCAAGTCATTACATAACCGCGAGATAAACAATCTTAGGGAGTATTTTCTTAACGTCGATATGGGGATTCATAGAGATGTAGTTGCTGTTGACAATGGACTCACTCCTCTATTTTTAGCAAAAGAAAACTGGCGCAGGCCTGTAGTACTTAGTACTTTGGATCGCAGAATTGTATGGCAAAGCAAGGAGTTGCATGGCAGATTCTACCGGGCTCTTCATGGGCCTGACGTAGATTTATCAGCATCAGTATCCTGGCTACGTTACGGTGACCTTTTTGGTGAAACCGAAGGTTTTATCTGTGCAGTTATGGATGAGGTTGTGATGACGAAGAACTACCGGAGGTTTATACTGAAGGATGGCACATTGGATGTTTGCCGTGCGTGCCATCGCCCAGGTGAATCCCTTAGGCATATAATCTCCGGTTGTTCTCGTTTCGCAAATGGCGAATATTTGCACAGACATAACCAAGTGGCCAGGATAATACACCAACAACTTGCTTTGAAATACAATCTTTTAGCATCTGAGGTTCCTTACTACAGGTATGCTCCAGAACAGGTTCTTGAAAATAGCCATGCCACATTATATTGGAATCGATCTATCATTACAGACAGGACTATTGTGGCTAATAAGCCCGATATTGCATTGAAAGATCGACACGAACGCCGTGCAGTAGTTGTTGATGTCGCTGTCCCCCATGACGACAACCTTGTAAAAGCTGAAAAAGACAAAGAAAACAAATATCTTGATTTAGCTCGCAAGATTGTTGACATGTGGGACATCGATTCAGCAATTGTTGTACCGATAATATAATCATATCTGCCCATGGTTTGATAGCCAAGAGCCTCGATAAACACCTTAAGAGGCTCGCGTTAGGTGGTTGGGTCAAGAGTCAGATGCAAAAGGCAGTACTTCTGGACACGGCCCGTATTGTGAGGAGGTTCCTGTCTCTTGATCCTTAACCACCGGTAGCAGGGACCCTGATCTTGCTGCCGATGGGGAACTACATTTTTGTATTTTTGAATGTTATTTTTTTAATGTTATACGCTGTAAAAAAACTAATATTTAGAAATATAATTTTGTATGTATATTTAATGAAATAAAGGAATAATAATACTAATAAAGTGTAAAGAAAAGTCCCAAAATAGCAAGAAACAATTTAAAAACAAATTGAGCAAGTATATGAAAGGCAGTAAGTGCAAGGTTCCCTTCAAAACTCTTTTGAAGACCTCCAGTTTTAATATAACTTTTAAAAAATTATCTACAGGTAAAATTACAACCAGGCCGTTTTATCATTCAAATATTGTTTCATATTATACTAATATCCTTTCTTAAGTAGCAATTCTTAATGTGTATTTTAAATTTAATAAAAGGCAAATCAAGAATATCATTAGGAATTGTATTATAGAAATATACACCTTCACCCATAAATTATCCATGAACCTGAAAAAAGGTGAGTGTATTGTATCCTTGTATTAAAAGAATGTATGTCACTATGTTTGATATTGCTTCGAACAAAAAGTATACAGTTCTAAATTAATTGTGAAGCAACGGTCAAAATCCAGATTTCTTTAATTTTTTCTCTAAGAGATGTTCTAGAACTTAGTTGATAAATATCCCATAAAGCTCTTTTTTGCAAGATAAAAGTTCCAATATCGGCTACTGTTCCCCAGAGAATAATACCATAGGATACAATTCTATGAAAGTAACTAAAGTATACAGTTCTAGCAGTAGCTACATCAGTAGGTTTTCTTATTTTACGTATGGCATAGGCTGCTGAACTAAGTTTACCAGCTAGCAGAGAAATATGAGGATACCATTGCAATTTTGAGTCTTAGTTATACCAAAGAATATCGTCAATTCAACTAAATCTAAGTTTTCATTGTTTAATTTAATTCTAACGGTTTCGTTTCTAACATTAAGTAAAGTGAATTTAATGCATTCCGTTTTATTTGCATTTAATTTTAAGTTATTTACATTAAACCACTGCAATACTTGTGAGAGAGCATCATCGTCAAAGTTATTCTTGTATCGGTCCATTTTAAATAATAAAGGGGTATCATCGGCAAACAATACGATGTTACTCTCTGGCTTATGAAAAATGGAAAATAAAGAAAGTGTTTCCCCGACTGGGAATCGAACTCGAGCCACCCGCGCTCGATTGGCAGGCGAGCTTTCTACCACTGCTCCGCCGATGTTTGTAGTAAAGTTTCAATTTTTGAATTTTAAATCGAACAATTTAAAATCTATTGCGACAGGCTAAAGATGAACGAAAACAAGTGGTGATGAAATAAAAGTTTTACTTTAAAATATGTGAATTTGATTGTGCAACCAAAACTTTTTTACGAGGCGGTAATTTAAATATTTCCGTCCAAATTTATGTTAAGTTAGTCCTCACTTTTTCGGTCTGCAATGAATTCTCTACTCTACGGAGCTATAGCAAATTTACTATACAATACAACAAAAAAAAGTGATTTCATTTCACTAACCTCTTCTATAACCTTCCCATATAGGTGAGTCAATACAAGTGGAAAATGGTAAACCAAAACTTAGAATCGAAGAAAATTCAATAAACAAAGCAGCACTAAAACACTGCAAGAGTTTATCAAGAATGTCATCAAAATGTCAACCAAAAAACTGTCTTGCAAAGTTCCAACATAGCACAAAATCTCAAATAAATCTTCTACGAAATCTTGTCCCTCCCAAAAGTTCAATTCAAACGCATAAAAAAGTACAATCGAATTACAGAACAATACAAACCCTAATAGTACTTTACCCCATATGCCAATACCGTGCCGGGGCCAGCTTCGCCCGCCTACAACCCTACTGGGAGCATTGTTCCGAAATCCTGTAAAATGCGCACCGAAACAGCCAACACTCGTGTCAATCGGTTTGGTATCGAATAAATTCGAGAAGGCATTGCGACTCTTTTTATGGTACCCCTTGTGAATTGCGTTCCTTTTCACAATTTCAATTTATCCTTTGGAGGGATTGTGTGTCTGTGTTGGTGTGTCTGTTTTTTTTTCTCGAATGCAAAGCAGCGATCGTCTACGGGCGAGCTGTGTACGTGACACTGGCGGGCCCTGACATCGTTGGGAATACTAGGCGTATCGGCAGGGGAAATTGTCTACTCGAATAATAGGCCCTGGAATAACATCTCCGACTCTGGACTGATAACGAGAATGGAAATAATGCTATGGATAAATAAATGTCGTAGGAATAGAGCGACTGACGGGCTCGTTCGGAAAATATTTATTGATCTTCCTTTTTAAACATTGTGTATAAGAGGAGTAAAATTAAAGGCTTTTATTATTTCTAACCCATAACTTACCGATCGATTATTATGTATGAAATATTATATTACCCACACCAAACAGACGATTCACCAAACAGACGATTCGCCGAACAGAATATTTGCGAAAGTGAAGCGTTAAAAAAAACATTACTTTCGCAATCAGAAGTCTTCCGTCATTCCCTTTATATTTTTCATTTGTAGGATAAGTGAGAGGGGTATGATATACGTTTTTATAAAACATTCTGTAATACGTTAGATCCGTAAGTACACCTGAAATGGTCACCTTTTCTACTAAAGATGATCATGTAATGTTAAAATTGGAGTTTCAATAAAAAATCGGTCGACATAAGAAAAAACAGAGAAAGTTTTCGCTTTACAATTTGTATTGATTTGATCTTTTATAAATCAGTCATTGAATGTGAAACACTACAATAGTTTTGTCTTGTCAGTCTGTGACCTTGATTTGTGCAGAAAAGTGTGCAATATTATTTGCACTTCATAGATAGTTAGTTTTCTTCTTTGATTATTATATATCAAGGTTC